GATTTACGTGTTATATTAAATTTGGTATTTTTAAGGTCTTAATACATTTTAGGAGAGTTTCCCCAATTTTTGCTGCATTATGGGACTCTGAAGTTGCCTTTGTATTTTTAGATTTTTCTCCCTTTTGTTCGATGGAGTTCATGAACACACTTTAGATTTTGACTTATTTGACTTTTCCAACTAAACTTAATTTTTGATATTTCACTCCAGAGGATTCTGGGAACACGAGGTAAACTCTAGATGCCAACTGATGGCTCATCGAGTCCAATAATGATCTTGGGTTTCTGAGTGTTCTCTGGGTTCTCGGAGGAGAAAGGCTTCCCCTGAACCTAATCACCTTTAGGGATGGGGCAGATTCGATCCAGTATTGGTATCGGCCTCCGATACCAGCATAATTTACGTATCTGATTTTCCGATCCTCCTGCCGATATTTCCGATCCATGATGCAAGTTGGCTTCAAACTATGGAATGGATTTCCTGAACGGCGGCGTGTCTCATGAGCCCAGAGTAATAAGACCCACCTCACATTCAGGAAATCCAGTTCATAGTTTGCAGCCAGCTACAACGTGAGGGCTGAGTTAGTAGCACTGTGGCTAACAGCTGACCAACTTTTCATCTAAACATGTCCGCTGTGTGGAAGTATTTTACACTAGAAACACCTCAAAACAAGACAGCATCGTACAATGTCTGCAGAGCCATAGCGCCACATTAAACCACGCTAAAGTTAGTTTTACGATGGACATTCGAGCTCCGTGGCTTCAGCGGGGCAGTACTCTTTGGTCAAACCGAAAAAGGCGACTCGACACCGGCCAGCCGCGTCCAATCTGCCCCGCTCAGTCTGCCCGTCTCTGAGGAGGGACAGACTGAGCGCGGCTGCCCCAAATCAGGCTGCCTGCTTTGGATTGAACAAGAAGACGACATCGCTGAAGCCACGGAGCTCAAATGTTTACAGAGAAGTTGCTAAACCTCATCATAATTAATGATCAACCACTATCAGTTGTAGAAAATGAAGGATTTCACAGCTTGATACTTGCATTCAAGATATAGTTTACCCTCCAGGAGATATTTATCAGTACAACAGTAGACAATCATAAAAAAAACATGATTTGAAAATTATATATATTAAAAACATAAACAGCTACATTATAAAGTGATGTAAAATACTAAAAACAGGAACATGTCTGTTGGTTTATGCCATGAACTTAACAGATGTTTGAAGCCATTTAACATTTAATTTAATTCATTTATTCATTCATTTAAATGAAACAAGATTTTAAAAAAATCATAAAAAAGAAAACATTAAATGAAAAGAGTGCAGAAAGAAGAAAAACATTATTATATCTGCCCCTTATAAAATATAAAACAACTTTAAACAATCACTTAAATTAATCACTTTAATATCCACTTTAAAGCTAGGAATAAAAAGGAACATGTTTTGGGTTAACATAATTTAATTCTAACCTTAAAACTTATCCAACATTAATAAAACTTACCTCAAGTTGCCTTTTTGGACATGCATGCATATATTTGTAAAAATTGTACTTGAGAGGAGATTATTACAGCCTCATATAAAATCAATGATGATCATGATATCGGAACTGGATCGTATCGGCCGATACTCAGTTCTAGGTATCGGGATCGGCATTTAAAAAAGTGGATCGGTGCATCCCTAATCACCTTACCTTACTTTGGCTCAACAGAGTGAGGATTAATATATTTCTATTTTTCCTCAATGAGCTTATGGATTTATAATTTTCTGTTTTTGCTCATCAGAGTTTTACGGATTTTTAATTCTTTGGTTCAGCTCATCGGAGCAAAGGAATTGCAACACGATTGGACTGTTTGGCCCCTCAGACATCAACCAACAATCAACAGTAATACCTTTCAAGTAACAAGTGGACTTTTGACTACTGACTTTGCTATGTAACCGAATAATCACTGTATGGATTTCTGCTATAATGTTGTTCCTCTGCAAATCATCAATTAAATGCCAAGCATGAGATATTAACAAAGTTTGGGATCATGATTGTCACAGTCTCATGTTCATGGATTTAAGAAGCTCGGTCCAATTCTAACAAAATAGGGAGGTTTTAAATGGTTTACTCAGCTGTAAATATTGACAACATCCTACAATCCTATTCCTGGATTCTAAAAAGAACCAGATCATTAAGAATTGCCGTCCTACAATGAAGGTGAACGACCATTAATGTGAGTTTTTCTGTGGACGACGATCCAACTCTGGCTGCTAGGTTGGGCAAGCCACAGGGTGAGATAAGGGTGTGGCTCACAGATGGAGGTCGTCAACAAATCTGGGTGAGTCACCTTCAACACAGCCTAAGTTGAATTAAATTCACTCTGGGTAATACTCAAGTGTTTAGTCTTAGTTCGTTATACCCCTTAGAGGGGAGGCTGCAGTGGGGTTTAGCCATAACTCAGGTGGTAGCTCCATTGGGTAGACTGAGAACCTCTAACCACAACTGTGCAGACTAAAAATGTTCTATTAAATATATAATGGACTGTACTTAGATAGCACCTTTCTTTCTGATAAAGACAATCAAAGCTCTTTACACTACAATCTGTCCTCATTTACCCATTCATACAGCACTCTACTAGATCTCTATAAAACTAATTGAGCAAATCATTCTAAAGAGACTAATCAGAGCTTTATCACATTCATACACTGATGGGACACACATCAGAGGCAATGAGGGGTTCAGTGTCTTGCCCAGGGACACTTGGGCATGTGACTGCTGGTGGATTCGAACCCCCAACTCTTGCATTGGAGGACGACTGCTCTAACCACTCAGACACAGTCGTAAAGTAAAGTTCATAAATATAATAAAGTGGAAAAACCCTGAATTATGTTTCAGAGAGCCAGTTTTTGCTACATTTCCTAACACCATCCCGATCTGACAGATGGCTTTCACGTAACGTCAAAGTGTTGAGAAAGTACATATCAGTCCTGAATAAATGCTTGAGGTGTTAGCAGTGATACCTGACACATTTTACAAATTAGTAAAATTTTCTAGTGGGAACTCTTTTTTTTTTTTTTTGACAAAATGAAAAACATTTGGACGGCACAGTGGTGAACTTGGTAGAGGTGTTGCCTCTCAGGAAGTAGGTCACCACAGTTCAAATCCCGGCCGGGGATCTTTCTGGGTCTAGTCTGCATTTTCTCTCCATGCTGCGTGGGTTTTATCAGGGTACTCCAGTTTCCTCTTGCAGACCAAAAACATGCATGTTAGACTGATTGGTAACTCAAATTGTCCCTAGTTGTGAGTGAGAGAGTGAATAGTTGTTTGTCTTGTTTGTCTCTATGTGTCCCTGTGATGGACTGGAGTCCAGTCCAGGTATTGCTGTGATGGACTGGAGATCTGTCCAGGGTGTCCCCCACCTCTTACCCAGCAATAGCAGGATATGGGCACCATTGAATCCTCAACCCAAAAAGGAAGAAGTGGGTAAAAGATAATGGATGGATGGAAACCATTCATGAACTGCCTTCACATCTGGAGCCTCATGTGAAGTAATTAGACAACCGATGTATGCTTGTGGGCAAGCTGTTAGTAAGTTTCAATTACTGTACTTAACGCTTTCTATGTACCCTCTCACCTGTGTGTGCCTACAATCCAAAACAACTTGATTAAATGCCTTGATATGTAAAAGTCCTGCAAATAATTTTTTTAGCATAAAGAGAATCAAATATTAATAATACCTTAGCAAACTAAAGTAGTAATAAGCCAGCAATACAATAGATCACTCAAAGCTGTGCAGCCAGCAGTCTATACCTTGATCCCTTTATAAAGATGTGCCTCCTTCTATCTCCACTAACCATTAGTGAGTGTGTGCTGGGTAACAATATGTTTGTTTTTCTGTGCTATGAGAGAAATGAGCAAATCATAGAATAACTGGCTAGTAAATCCATCTTTAAAAGAAGAAAACATGTGATATATTAACACAGAGAAGCAATATCCTGATGCATGCTCAAGAGATGTTGACAGAGACAGAGAAGCAATATTACACTTATATTTGATCAAACGATTATATGCTAACAAATGTCCCAGCCTGGGCAGAGAATGGGTCAGTTTTGGCGGAAGTAAAGAAGCTGAAATTTGTTTTTGTGAGGTTCATATGCACAGAGAACTTGGAGGTGATATGGTACTTGTGGTGAGCGCGAGTTTGGCTTTGGAGGATCAATATGGCACCCAACAGAACTGTAATCCATTGTCCTAGGCCTTTATACTCTTATCATGGCTCAAAATTGACTGCTAGTACTAACAATATATAAAGAAGCTGTAGGAGAGCTTTTATAGGTTGCACTGAGTCTTTTCATTCATCTTCAGGTTTAGCCTTTGTTTGGTTTCTATTTAAGCCAAACACATCGCTGCCAATGGTAAATGGTAAATGGACAGTACTTATATAGCGCCTTTCTATCTTTTCAAGACACTTAAAGCTCTTTACACTACAATCTGTGCCCTCATTTACCCATTCATACAGCACTCTAACTATACAAAGCTACTTGAACAAATCATTCTAAAGAGCCTAATCAGTGCTTTATCACATTCATGCACCAATGGGACACACATCAGAGGCTAAGGGGTTCAGTGTCTTGCCCAGGGACACTTCAACATGTGACTGCTGGTGGATCCGAACCCCCAACTCTTGCATTGGAGGACAACAGCTCTAAACACTCAGCCACAGCCGCCCCAATCACAGATCTGACCACTTCCATTACTGCTGCTTTCCATCTGTGCTCCACCACCACTGCAGTCATGCACATGTCAATCACAGTGTCTTAACAGTAAGCACACTGTAAAACTGATCCAAACCAAATCATCTAAAAAACAAGTACAACATTCAACATGCAGGCAGGTATGGTTTGCTTAGCCATAAAACAAATTAATCAAAAACAGAAAAAAAAAACTGGGAAGCTTGTTGGAATCAGCAAGCTTCCCACAGTCTGTGACACACCAAATGTCACCAAAATGAACCCCATTGCTTACCGTAGAGGATGGTCACCATGGAAACTGGCATGACCAAGATGCCTAGAAGCATGTCAGCCACTGCCAGTGACATCAAGAAATAGTTTGTGGCATTTTGCAGCTTTTTCTCCAGGGAAACCGCCAGGATCACCAGGATGTTGCCCATGACTGTGACGGCGATGACGACTAAAATCAGCAGCGCTGGCCAGTTCTTTTCCACTGGAGACTCAAAACGGGGACAGAGAGACCACGCATGTCCTGCAGCATTATAGTGGGAGATATTCACAGGATGCGTGTTGATGCCGTTGTGTGTCACTTCGGTCCTGTGACATCTAAAGTTTGTTGCGTTATCTGGTCCAGGTGAAGGCCTGGGGTTAGAATCCAAAGTGGTGACAATCCTGACAGTGTTGAAGATCAGCTCTGACATGTTTCCACCATTCAGGTTCATGGTGTCAGTTCTGTTTAAAAGCCTAAAAACTTCTGCTTTGATAGGTTAGGATGGAGTAAGATAATGACAGTGTTGATAGAAATGAATTGGCTTTTTATTCAGAGGATTAGGGTAAACGACAATATGTCCCTCGAGTTTTAATTGTTATTCAAATAGAACGTGCCTGTTTCAATGCCTCGGAGGGAGCTAAAACCTTGAAATGTCTGTCAGGATCAACTGATGATCCTCCACACGGTAAAGCAAAAATAGAGGATGGCTGAATTCAGTGAAATGAAAGAATCTGTTTGATCTCAAAGCACACCGGTGTGCAGAAAAATTAAAATGCTTGATTAATTCCAGCACTGTCTGTGTCGTGACCCTGGATCAACAACAACAAAAAGAAAGAGAGCAAATGAGAGTAAAAATGCTCCAGTTACTCAAAATATCCAAAACCAAACATTGAACTGATTGTGACTCATGTTTTCAACGAAACAAAAAAAGAGAAGAACAGAATCACATCTTCCGATTATAGAATCCCTTTGAAGGATGAGAGATGTCAATCCTTGAAGTTTGGGCTTGTCAGAGCAGCTCTCATGTTAAAAATATTGAATCTATGTGAAGACTGTGACGTTAAAAATCAGAAATTCAAGCCCTACTTGAAGCAGCTTTCAGTCAACTTTGCTTAGGTTTGTTTCTCAACCTTTACGAAGTGATTTTATACAAGACGAGGTGAAAAAATTAAAAAAACTTCTGAAACTTGATCTGGAAGAATTAAATAATACTCTGACAAAAAAAAAAAAAAAAAAAAATCCAGTAAATTTAAAGTTTAAAATTTCTTGTAAAAATCAGACCTTTACAAGTATAATTCCAGTGAGTGTGTTGTCAGATTAATATAGAGATCTCTGTCTGTTCGAGGCTTCTTACCTCAACTTATTCCAACACCTGTGAGGCTGAGTGTGCAGCTGACAAACAGTGATTTGATCTGACATGTCCACGTGTCAATAACTTCCTCTCTCCTTTTTTCTTTTCCTTCAAACCCTCATGTCAGTCTAGCAAGAAGAAACTCCTGACTCATAAAAGAAACATCCCATTGTTTCTTTTAACAAAACACCATGTCAGCCTTCTGGATATCTCATATATTAATTTTTCCCCTCTTTTCCTGCTTACACGAAGTCCTCAGTAGAAAACGTCAGTCACTATTCATCCACATCTTCCAAAAACAGAACGTTCCTTCACAAATCTTCACCTGTTCCACATGGTATATTCCCCAGGTCCTGTCACTTTCCAGAAATAACTCAAAGAGGAGGAGAAGAGGAGAAACCCCCTGTCTCTTTGAAAACCATCAGCAGACTGAAGAGGTTTCATGTGCAGCTCTTCAGAAGAGTGTCAAGTTGTTAGTCTTTAACGGTGGCCGGGAGCTTCTCAGCTTGTTCTCTCCACACGCTGCTTTTCACAGGCTGCCTCTCTTTCTCTCTGTGGGGTTGTCCTGCTCTCTCTCCCTTGCTCTCTCCCCCTTGCTCCCCCCCCCCCCTCTCTCTCACTGTTTCTACTCAAGGTCTCTCTCCCTTCTATAGTATTGGCTGGCTTGCTTTCTCTCAAGTGTCTCTTGCTCTCATATTGCATCCTTTACAGAATCTGTAGGTCCTGATGCTCAGTTCATGTTTAGTTTAAAAATCCCCACTAGCAGGATCACATTTACATATATTGAGACTTAAGCTGTGGATTAACTATCACAGTTAATAGTAAGAAAAGTGCAAAGTTAAAAAATGGCTTGTCGTTTATATGCAATCCTTTACTTTCATCATTTGTTCTGACCTTATATAGAAATTACTGTTATTATTTACTGCACATGGAGGTAGTTGGAGTAAAGACAAGGTGAGCTGGAGGAGGATGACTCGCTGTGAAGACCCCTGAAGAGGGAAAAGCTGAAATAAGAAGGTTTAATGAAAACATATATAAATGCAACATTTTGTTTTTGCTCCTATTTTTCATGACTTGAACTCAAACATTGTTTCTATGTACACAATAAGCTTTTCTCTGTCAAATATTTTTCACTAATTTGTGTAAATCTGTATTAGTGAGCACTTCTCCTTTGCTGAAATAATCCATCCATTTCACAGGTGTGGCACATCAAGATGCTGATTAGACAGCAATATTGTTGCACAGGTGTACCATAGACTGACCACAACAAAAGGCCACTCTAAAATGTGCAGTTTAACTGTATGGGGGGTCCTAGTGGTCAGAAAACCAGTCAGTCTGATGTGACCACTGTGTGCCTCATGCAGTGCAACACATCTCCTTCACACAGAGTTCATGAGGTTGTTGACTGTGGTCTGTGGAACGGTGGTCCACTCCTCTTGAACGTGCAAACCTTATAACAACCACTCTCCTTCTGGCTGATTTTTACATCATATAAAGGTCATCATCTGATTGAAGTGAGTGCACCAGAGTGTAAAATCTAAAATCTATTAACTTAAACTGATGAGCATTCAAAAGAGATTCTGTTACTGCAATGCTCGGCTCTTTACATAAGCTCCTTGTGAAATCTAGAATAATAATACCCCGATTCATGCTCAATGTTGTCATTGTTTACTGTTATTGTTGTCTGTACTTAATATGTTCTATTTCATTCCTCCTGTCCGCCAGAGGGCGGTGCTGAAAGCACTGAATGTTCCCTTCGCGCATGCGCTGTTCGAGTAATAATACCAATGGAGTCACAGGTGTGACACGGATGACCAATCAGAGGCTATATAGCCCGACGTCATCCGCTGCTCTGCTCCTATTTTCTTCTCGCGCGCGGTTCAATTCAGGGCTTCAGCCCTTTGGACCTTTTCTGAACTTTTTACCATCGTCGGAAGCCCAACTGCCCGTCTGCGGGAGTAGCGTGTTCGCCCTCCTAGGGCTGCGACGGTTTAACCCTGTTCAAAGGTATTTCTGCTGTTTCGTTGGGGACTACGGCGGTTTCCACCTCTCCCAACTTACAGCGTCTGACTACTATGTGTGTGATTCAACACCGGTGAGTAGTTTTCCTTATATTTCGCCGTTGGTTAGCGGTAGAGTTCGCTCCGCTCACGCTTGTTGGGAGACCTCCAACCGTGTGGTCGGCTGGACTGTGCTTCAACGTTGTTTATGACTACTATGTGTGTGATTTAACACTGGTGAGTAGTGTTTTTTTGCTTATTTGCTATTGGTTAGCGGTAGCGTTCGCTCCGCTCCTGTTTACTGGAGGCCTCCAACCGCATGGTCAGTTGGACTGTGGGTAGTTGCCACTCTGACCCATGGTTACCGACTACAGTTCCGACGGCGGCCTCATATCTCATGCTGGGTCAAGATGACTGTAATCGCTGACCCGGTGAAAGCTCGAGCACTAGACCAGGAATTTTCCGCCCTCCTGGCCAAGGGCGCAATAGAGGCAGTGGACCCTCTGCAACAATCCAGAGGCTATTACTCGACTTACTTCCTTGTGCAAAAGAGGATGGGCAGGTTTCGTCCCATATTAGACCTGAGGGGACTCAACCAGTACCTAAGGGAGCTACCCTTCCACATGCTCACAACAGCAGAAGTCCTTCAAGCTGCCATGAGGGAAGAATGGTTCACGTCTGTAGACCTGAAGGATGCATATTTTCATGTGCCTATTGCGGCAGAACATTGCCGCTTTCTCAGGTTTGCCTATTGGGGTCACCACTGGCAGTTCCGGGTACTCCCATTCGGGCTCTCTCTCTCTCTCCAAAGGTGTTCACTCGGTGCATGAAGGCAGCCCTCTCTCCTCTGCAGACCTGCGAAGTGAAGATTCTGCCGTACTTAGACGATTGGCTTCTCTGCGCCCCGTCTCAGGCCTGTGCCTTTCACGACACAAACCGCCTACTCGCTCATATGTCCCAGTTGGGCCTCAACGTCATCCTGGAGAAGAGCTGCCTGATCCCTTCCCAGACAACCACCTTTCTTGGGGTGGTTCTGGATTCATCTTCCATGAGAGCTCGCCCATTCGCTCAAAGGGTGGCCGGCATACTCCAGCTGGTCAATCAGTTCAGGCTGGGCAGGCAGCTCCCCTATGTTGCCTTCCTGCAACTACTCGGAAAGCTGACATCAGTCACTCGGGTGGTGCCCTTAGGCCTGCTGTCACTTCGCCCCTTGCAGAGGTGGCTCAACAGCTTTCGCCTGGATGCCAGGCTGCACAGGCATCGCAAGCTCGCAGTGACGTGGTCATGTCTTCATGCCTTGACTCCATGGAGGGACGAAGATTATTTGTCCAGGGGTGTCCCCATGGGAGTGGTAGTGTGTCGCAGGGAAGTGGTCACGACAGATGCCAGCTCCATGGGATGGGGGTCTGTGTGGCAACGCAGAGCGGTTCAGGGCTGCTGGGGTCAAAGGGACCACTCCAAGCATATAAATGTGCTGGAGCTGCGTGCAGTGCACTTGGCACTCAGGCACTTCCTGCCTCACCTGGAAGGGAGGCATGTTCTTGTTCGGTCAGACAACACCTCTGTTGTCTACAACATCAACCATCGGGGGGGCACCAGGTCAGCACAACTTCTGAGAGTGTCCGGAGAGCTCCTGGAATGGGCCTCTCCTCACCTGTCCACCCTGCGGGCAGCGTACTTGCCAGGGCGACACAATCAGGTCGCAGATTTTCTCTCCCACCAAGAGTCCCCTCTGGGAGAGTGGTCCCTCCACAACGACATAGTGCTAATGATCTGGGAACGTTTTGGTCAGGCAGAGATAGGCCTGTTTGCAACGGAAGAGTCGACTCAGTGTCCCCTATGGTACTCTCTTACGGGGGCGTTGGGGGCGCTAGGCCAGGACGCACTGGCTCATCCTTGGCCAAGGGTCCTTCTATATGCCTTTCCACCCCTTTCTCTAATTTGGCCAACCCTTCAGAGAGTCCTCGAGGAGGGCCACAGGATGCTGCTGGTGGCTCCGTACTGGCCAGCGCAACCATGGTTCCCACTGCTACCAAGTCTGTCAGGGCGTCCCATGGTGTCTTCCAACAAGAAGGGACTTGCTGTCTCAGTTGGGGGGAC